TTTAACACACTTTGAATAGTACCTACCACATCAGAAGCATAATGAACACTAGCTGCTCTTTGTGGGTAAAAGTCCTGATATATTTTTACGTGGGTTGGACAGAGCTGGATGTGGATCCCCAGGGCACCATAGCAGTACTGGCAGGGAGGGACCTCAGTGTGCACAAGAGTCAGAGATGGTCACCTGAGGCTCTGGGGAGACAGGACCACCAACACAAATGCCTGAGCATGGAAGATTTGAGGAGCTGAAAAGAAGGCGGGGTGGCTGCAGCCCGGTGCATGCGGCTGCAGGATAGCGCCCCGCACGTGCAGGCCTTTGCCAAATTTCTTGTGATTTTTTTCAAATAGTCTTTATGTGTATATAAGGAAAAACATATTTTTATATGTTCATATAAAATATTTTCTTTCTATAAGTTAATATACTTTTTTTTTTTCATTTTACAATGTGATTTAGAAATTTGTTCACACCAGTGCACAGAGGCGGTCTCATTCCCCTTTTTTACACTGCAGAGTATTCCATCATAGCATTTGTTTAACCAGAACCCCACCGAGAACATTTATTTCCAGTCTTTTGATACTACAGACAGTGTTACAGTGAATAACTCAGTGTAACAGTCATTTTAGAGTTCTGTGAGTACCCACAGAACATAAATGCCTACAAATGAAATTTCTGCCTCAAAGAGTATGTGCATTTTTTTTTTTAAGATTTTATTTATTTATTTGAGACAGAGAGAATGAGAGACAGAGAGCATGAGAGGGAGGAGGGTCAGAGGGAGAAGCAGACTCCCTGCCGAGCAGGGAGCCCGATGCGGGACTCGATCCCGGGACTCCAGGATCATGACCTGAGCCGAAGGCAGTCGCTCAACCAACTGAGCCACCCAGGCGCCCAGAGTATGTGCATTTTTAAATAGATGTTGTTAAAGTGCTTTCCATAGAGGTTGTATGCATTTAAACACCCACTGGCTCTATATGAGAACGTTTTCTTATATCTTAGACAACATACTGTGTTATTAAACTTTTTGATCTTTGCTAACATAAGTGGAATCAGCTATCTCAGTATAAAATTTTGATTTTCATGGTTTTTATTACATGTAAGATAGGGCATCTTTGCACATTTTTATTTTGAGTTTTTGGCCTTTACTTATACTTAAGAGCTTTTTATATCTCAGAAAATTAGCTTTCAGTTTGATCTCAGTTGTAAATTTTTTTCAAGTTTGTCATTAATTCTCTGACTGTGCTTATGGTGATTTTTGTGAGGTTGAAATATATTTATGCATTAAAATTTATATTTCTTTTGGGCTTCTGATGCCTTTCCATATTTAGTAAGCATGTTGCAGCCCAAGAATATAAAGAAAATTTCCCATAATTTCTTCTAATGCTTCTATGGTTTATTATTTTATATTTAAATCTCTGATACATTTAGGATTTGTCCTGCTGTAGGGTATGATGTATGGCTCAAATTTCTTTTTTCCTAAATGACTACTTAATTATCTCAATACCATATGTTGAATAAACCATTTTTTTTTTTGCCCACTGACTTAAAATGTTAACTGTTAACCAAGACTAGAACTATATAAATCGTTTTATTCTGGAAATAATCCCTGAAAAAATAAGAAATCTTCTTTTCTATGTGTGCTGTAAAAATCCAGATTCACTCTTGCTCTGAACAATCATTCATGTGGTAGCCCTATGATAAAAGTAACTTTATTGTCCTCAATTTATAGACTAGGAAACTAACCGAACCCGAGAGAAACTGAAAACTTGCTCAAGATCACACCACTAGTAAGTGGCTGAGTCCAAGCTATTAATCACTATGATACAGGCCTACTTAGTTTAAAGAAATATTAAATGATGCTGTGTTCATTGCAGTTATTCCTGGCATCTGTAAAGTGGGGTAACAAACTTACCTCTATGTGTGGGTTGCTCTGAAGATTAATCATTCAGTCCATGTGCATACCAAGGACCTAGTCAGTGCTAGCTATTTATATTCATTTAACGATTTAGGGCTTCTTTTGCTCAGAGCCATATATTTCTTTAACACTAAACACTGAGACCTAAATCTGGGTGTGAATCTCTAACAACTATGTCTCTGAGTCTCCTTTGCATCTACAAAATGGGCTCAGTAGCAATAGTTACTTACAAATATTGCTTTCCAGATTAAATGAGATAAAATATGTGAAGAGCCCAGTCCAGCATTCTTCTGAATGCTCTACCTTGCAAGCCTACAGGTTTTTCTATGGTGCTGGGCATCTACCTGCTCAGATAGTCACAAGGGTGCTGTTCCTCTCACTTTCAGCAGAACAACTCTTCAGTCTGGAATGGGCAGCTAAGAATTGCAAACAGTTCAGCCTTAGACCTAACTGTTAAAAAATCTTACCTAAATGGGTCTATAGTACCCCACAGTTACGGTTTCTGGTAGGAAGTTGGGTTGAGTGGGTGCTGGCTTCAGGACAGACCCCAGAAACCAATGCTCTAATTGACCTTAGTTTCCCTCCCCTGAGGAGGGAAATATTTTGCTTCTTCCTTCTGCCATGGGGTGCCTCTCCTCCAAGATACTACTGCTTTTCCCTTTCTGGTCTCTGGAGCCAAATGAACTTAATATTTCTGGCTATGAGATCAGTTTACACTCTAAATGACACCTTGACTCTCCTCTGTTACCAGCAGCCTTGGAGCCTTCCTGCCTTCCTGCCTCTTTCCACCAAGGTCAGCTCTCACTTTTGCCTAAGAGTTTGGACTCCAGGTAATGCTGGCCTCCTGTTCCCCATTAAGCTGGAGAATCCCTAGGTTTCTCTGCAATTCCAGGTTTTGGCTGGTTGAATTGCTTCTTGTGCAGACCTAACAGCACTTGACAAATTAAGTCCAATGCCAGCAAGCACTGTTTGGTCAAGGAAGGCAAGTTTCACCTTCCTTTTACAAACACTCAAAGAGCAAATGACTTGTCTCAGACCTGATTATGGTCTAACAATTACCAAGCATAAGCTCCTGAACTAAATCTTATATTCTCTTTCACTGAATTCTCACAGTAACTGTATGAGGGATGTGGGCCTGGCTGGGCAGGTGGCAGGTGAAGGCCTCATTGGTCCATGCTCATCACACAGGACAGCTTTCTGTGTTATGGATGGGAACCTGAATGAACTAGACATTGTCAGGAAATCACATCAGGAGAGAAGATCACAGAGCAGGATCAGGGTTTTGGAGGATCAAGTGTAAATCTACTCTTGTATTACTGTCCACTTGGGGTTGTCTGGTTTGAAGATCTATCTTGATGGAGGACTGTTTGTTTTCTGGCTGGGTGGTCCATTTTTCTGTCTGTCTAGCTGGAGATCTGTCTGGCTCAGGGAGCGCCTGTCTAGTTGGGGATCTGTCTGGCTGCAGTCCTTCTGGCTGGGGGTCTGCACATCTGTCTAGCCAGAGGTCTTTCTGAGGGTCTTACCAAGCTGGCATTCAGTCTGTCTGGAGTTCACTTTTCCAGCTATCTACTTGGAGATTTATCAGCCCGTGTGGCTACAGACTGATCTGTCAGTCTGAGGTCAGTCCATCTGTCTGTGAGGCTAGATGTCTGTCTTACCAGCTGCAGATCTATCTGCCAAACTAGCAATCTGTGTGCATCTGCTGTCAGCTCAGACTGAAGGTTTGTCTGGCCAGGGGTCTATGTGAACAACTCAGTTAGTCTGGTTGGGGGTCTTCCTGTCAGATTTGGGTCTATCTAGGTGGGGATCCGTCTAAATAGGGTCTGACTTGTTGGGGGTCCATTCATCTCTCCAGATGGGGGTCCACCTGTTCATCTGGTTTGGGTTCTGTCTGTCCAGCTCAGAATCTAGTTGGCCAGTTGGCTTGGAGTTCTTTTATCTCTGAGCATAGTGCCTCACTGTCTGGCTGGGGTCATCTGTCATGTGTCTGACTAGGGGTTCATCCTCCGAGGCCCTATCTGAGAGACTGGAGGGTCGATCTGGTGAGCAGGGATCTAGCCTGTTTGAAGGATCTCTGATTTGCAAGGTATGCCAAGCTGGTAGATGGTTTGGACAGTGGGAGATCTGTCTGGCTTAGGATGCTTATCTACCTGAGGGTTTGTCTACTTATCTGGCCTGCTGACTTCCTGGGGATCCACCTGGCAGTCTTCCCAGCAGGTGGTGCATCAATTTGTCCGCTAAAACGTGGGTCTTTGGAATTGGTGAGCTGGTGGGGACTACCCACCTATCTGCCTTGCTGGGAAGGTGTCTGTACAATCAAGGGTCTTTCTGTTTGGCTGGGAGTCCATCTGGCTAGTTAGTTAGGAGTCTGACTAGGTCTGTCAGTCTGCCCACCCACTTGGGGCTGGGTCTGCCTAGCTGAGAGGATGTCTGTATCTGTTCAGCTAGGGATTTGTTTATGTCTGTCTGGGAGTCCGTCCACCTAGGGGTCCATCTGGCTGGTGTCTGGCTGGCTGCCTAGCTGGGAGAGGGGTCTTTTTGATGGTCTCTCTTGCGGGGGGTGGTCTGTCAGGCTGCTAGTTGATTTATCTGATGGGAGGTCCATCCATCCAGCTGTGGACCGTCCCTCTGAAGGTCTGGCTGTCTAGGTGTATGGCTATCTACTTGTCCTGGTTGGGGGCCCATCTGTCTGTGTACCCATGTGGGGATCTTTTTTACCTGTTTGAAATCAGTTTGCTGGGTTGTTTACCTGGCTTGGATCTGTCTGAATGGTGGTTGGGGGGTGGCGGAGTGTCTATCAGTCTTTTTCAGGGCCTACCCATTTCTGTGTCCAGCTGAGTGTCTAAGTGAGGGAGGCTCAGATATTGAGATGAACTAGTCCATTATGTGGTGATGGCGGCAGTCTCCAGAAGCCCATCTGCCCATCCTCTTCTTCACACCTGGGAGAACCTGCCTAGTCCCCTGGGGTTGGGCCCATTCCTGATGTTTATTCTTGTATCTGTTCACTGCAGTCTCACCAGCCATTATCTCTCAACTATCTCCCCCAGCCTCAAGCCTTGAATACTATAATCACTGGGGCAAAGCCCCTACATTTCCACCCTGAGAAACTTTTATTTTGATCCAGGACCAGCATTCCCATTTCCAACACTTCACATAGCAGAGAATGGCCGTCAGCAGTCCAGGTGCCCATGTGAGGCAACAGGCAGGCAGGGTACAGCATTCACACGTGGGTCCACTCAGCAGGGGGGTCCCGGGGCCCTTTAGGCCTTCCAATGCGCAGGTTGAAGCCTGGAAGAAGGGCACCATGTGTTTCATGGAGAAGCTGAGGCGCGGAGATGTGTGGAAGGTCATCCTCAAGCCTCCAGGCCCTGGTTGTTTACTGCAGCCACATCCGCAGGACTCGGAGAGTGTGAGCCCCATGCCACCATCCCTAAACCCCCAAAACCTGGTCAAAGCTGCGGAGGCCCAGCAACCCAGGCTTTGACTCACCTAGCCCACCATTCTGAGCTCCATCCACCACATCCTCATAGGCGTCAGGCCCAGCAGGGCTTTGGTCAACAGGAACTGCGGGCAGAAAACCACCCCCCAAGGATTGACTCAGGCAGCCCCAAGGATTGACTCAGGCAGCCCCACGGAGCTCCGGAACCCACCCGGGGCAGAAGTGCATCCTCCAGGCTCCCGGGGCCTGAGCTGGCAGGCTGGGGGCCAGGGCGGTGAGGGCAGCGGGAGGGGGCGTAGCGGAAACGGACGGGTCCGCCTGGACTAGCTAGCGTCGCCAGAGAAACGGACCCAGCCTTGGGCTCAAGGATAGGCCTGGCACCCTTTTCCGGCCGTGACCGGAGTTGGGCAACAGTCCCAAAGGCGTGGCCGGGAGAGCACGTACGTATGTCAGCTTAGGCCCTGACCAGGCCGAACTTGGGGGCGGAGTTGGGGGGGGGGGAGATGGGGGGGGTCCTTGAGGCCTCCAGGGCCTTCCCGACCCCAGCAAGACTGGGTCTGGAGAAGGCTCAGGTGGGTGCCGGCCCTCCCGCTTCGCGCCCAGGCCCGCCCCGGCCCGGCCCGGCCCGGACTTACCGCGGCCAGGCAGCAACCCACGCACGTCCTCCGTGTGCGCCTGCGGCCGCAGGGCGCGCGACATCACTTGGCTGTAGAGCGGCGCCTCCTCCGCGCCGCGCCCCCGCGCCCCCGCCCCGGTGCCCGTGGGCGCCCCGCGCTTCTGCACCACCGCGTACGTGTCGGCCATGGTGAGGGCCGGGGGCCCCGGCACCGAGATGCTTCTGCGGGTGGGGCGGGCGGGGGAGGAAGTGAAGCGACTGAGCCAAGGGAGGGAGGGGGTGGGGAGTGCGCTTAGCTCGTCAACCGCCGGCTTCCTTCCCGCCAGAGGCTGCTCGCCGGTCGCCGGTCGGAGAAAGCGGGCGGGCAGGTCTCAGGGGAGAGAGGGAGGGGGTCTCTGGATCTCGGTTCTGTGTCTCGAGTGCCTGGCAAGTTAGGTGGGTGAAGGGAAGGGGACAGCCTGGCAGGTGAATGGGGCAGGATATTGGTACTGAGGGGTGGTCATTTCTGTGTACATGTCCGAATAAAAGAATGAGGAAGTGGCATCTAAAGGAGAGGGAGGGATAGCCTCAAAATGGAGAGCTAGTCTAAAGGCCGTGGGGGTGAAATCTGCTGCAAACGAAGGTTGACTCTGTCCCCAGCACCTGACATGAGGCCTGACAAGTGGGCGGCCTCAAGAAATATTTGCTAAATTAATGTCTAGGGAAGCAAAGAAAGGGCTAACATAGGGGCTAGCCTTAGAGGCAGAGGCAATGGGATCTCTGGGATCAAAGTGTCATCTTGGGGCAGGTTCCCCGACTCAGGTCAAAGAGCCAGTGAATATTTGATAAACTGAACAGCAAGGAAGGGCTGGTGTTTCAAGGGCGAGGAAAGGGTTAGCCTCTGAGCATGAGAAATTGGAAAGGGAAGAACGAGGAGATGGAGCTGGGTACCTGAGGACCTCGCCAGGTGGGCGCGGTGTGGTGGGAAGGGTCTGGGAAGTCTGGAAGGAGAGGGCATCGTCGTAGATTGGGGCACAATTCTGGGGAAAGACAGGAGGGAAAGGGTATGAGACTTGGAGGAAACTGGCCAGACTCCTGATGGAGGTGACCATGGACTCTGCCAGGGCTGGGGTGGGGAAGCTTAAGAGGAACAGTCTGATAAGGTAGCAAGGAGGACAAAAGTGGGTATCATAGCCAGTCTCTGCTCCCAGAAGGAGTCCATGGGCTAGATGCTGCAGTGATGGTGGCCAAAGACTTCTGCTCTGGGTCCTGGTCTCTGAGGGTGTTGATGGTGGGCAGGAAGAGAGTAGGAAGGGGGCCTTGGTACCTCCTTGAAATTCTGGTAAATGGGGCTGGTGTTTTGGAGTGCTGAGAAGAACATCTGAGCCACTGTGTGGTATAGGAACCTGTACTGCTCCTGGTGGGGGAAGAGGAATCCTCAGAAAGGGAAAACAAGAGGAGGAGGGATGTGTCCTTGGATTGAGGAGACTGAGGCTCTCACCTCTGTCTGCACAGCTGCAGGCCGCTGCTTTCTTATCTCCAGGACCACGTTGAAGAGGCTGAAGTTAGGTGGGATCATCTGGGGCAGAGAGGGCATATGAGCAGGACCTGGTGGGCATGGGACCTGCACTGCACATAAGCACACATATGCCCTATTCATACCTGGGTCAGGAGCAACTGTCTCACATAATCCACAGTGCACAGGACACCTGTTCGCCCACAACCTGCGCTGACAAGCAAGAATAAGCATAAGCTTGGTCAGGACCTGCCCACAACCCCTTTTATGTGGGGCGTTTGGGTTTGGGAATGAAGGTCCTGATGGAGGATCCCCTGCAGCACCTTTTGATTCTCAGAATCCCCAGATTACAATTAGAAGAAAAAACTTTTTAATTGCTTACATTTGTTGAGCATCAACTCTGTGTTTACTACTCTTCCAGCAGGCAGTCTGCACTCAATAAATGCTAAATTTCAGTTGATACAGCATGAGCTAGTGTGGCTTCAGGTTTTTCAAAAGAGGCACTCAAACTGTGACACTGGCTTCAAGGCCTGCACTGGCCCTCCCTGCCTTCTGCACTCCCCCACCAGTCATCTCTGTCTCACCAGACCGCCATAAAACCCATTTCTTAAACCTGCAGTGGACACAGAGGGGGCTGGGGCCAGATCCCTGGAGGCGACGGGCTTCCTCCACCATGGTGAGCACATGTTCAGGATTGCTGGGGACTCCTCTGTCTGGCCAGGACATATATTGCAGCTGGTACACAGAACGACATTCCTGAAACACAGGAAACGAGCGGCAAATAATAAAAAAGCATTTATTGAGCACCTACTGCTTGTCAGGCCCAGTTCTAAACATCTTCCATTTAAATCCAACAGATAATAACTGAGGAGATAGGTACTATTGCTAATGCACATTTTACAAATGAGAAAACAGAGACAGAAAATAGCTCTCCCCATATGGGAGCCTCTTCCTCCCTTTAAGTACCTTCTGAAAAGTAACCTGGAGGGTCCTGAGCATGATGTCTGCATTCAGCCATGTCTCCCTTGTCTGAGGATGTGGGGCAGGTGGGAAGAGAGAGGAGAGCAAAGACCACAGGTGCCAAAAGACATTTGCAGAAAACAAAGCATTTCTGATTAAAAATCAAAGTCAACATATTTTTAAAAATTCATTCAGCTCAAACATCCCCCATGGCTTTCCTGAAGGAAACATTTGATAGAGGGGAGAAAGAACTGTGATTAAAAACCCCAACAAGCTCATTTATAGTGAAAAAAGAAAAAATATTTCTTTCGTTCTACAAGAGTTTTATTGTACTTATTATGTTCCAACTATATTTGACTTGAGGTAAGAGATTTTCCTGAGTTATGAAATGGTAAGGGAAATAGGGATTTTAAGAACCTAACCAGGCACATTTATATAACAGAGATAACCATGATCATAGTTAAAATGCAACAGCAATGTATATATTGAGTTCTGGCTATTGCACGCTAATACTAGAGGGTTCCCTGCAGTGTGAGGGGACTGTGGGAAAACTATTCATCCTTTCAGGCCCAGCCCGAAAGCTTCCCTGAGAATCTTCTATGAAACTTCCCACAACATCCAAGACTTCATAAAACACAATTCCCACCTCTGCCCCAGCTCACCAGGGTGATGCAGAAAAGTCCAATCTGTAGTGGTTCCTGTTCTTGGGCCCAGTAACGCTCACACTTTTTCTGCAAAAGGCAAGGGAGAAAGGGCAGGGAGTGAAGAGCAGTAGTCTGCTTTAGAGTTCCAGCTCAATACATCTACACCCCCACAGAATACCTCAGGCATTGCTGGTGGAAGCACAGATAGCTGTAGCTATCATGCAGGCCAGCTGTCAGAACCTTATCAGATTAAACACACAGATACAGTGGAGACTTGTGCTTCTGACCATGCAGGAGGAAGACAGGCCAGAATATTCTCATACTGTAAGCAACTAAAAAATTGGACAGAACATATGAGCCACTATTTTCAAACATTGGACAACAGGTATTGCAGGATTGTGATCACTGAACAAAGGGAAACACATGGACCAAATCTTATGACTGCCTCACCTTACTGCAGGACATGGAGAGTCCAATGATCCCACTGAGTTGAGGAGCCAGAGATCATGGCTCAGGGAGGCCAAAGCAGCTAGAATTTGAAGGGCAGAGTCGTGGAAAGAATAGAGCTATGCAAACAAGAGTTAAAAATTTCAGAAGTCTGCAAATGGTCCCCTTGAGTATTATTAGCTGAAGTCCTGGAAAGAACAGAGCTATGCAAACAAGAGTTAAAAATTTCAGAAGTCTGCATATGGTTCCTTTGAGTATTATTAGCTGAATAATAATCTGAGGATCATGAAACTCTGTGAAGCCAGGCAAGAATAACTTCCTACGAAAGAATAATAGCTAAGGACCTATAAGATGAATATTTCCTATAATGTTCATAATGGGATAGAAATAATTTACATTCCTCCAGCCAGAGTGGAGAGACCCAACTGACTATAAGGGCATTCAATAGGGAACCAAGAAGGACCACATGTTAAAAGTAGAATGAAATTAGTTCTAGAATAAAGGCTACTCTAGACCTGCCCTACAAAAGCTTTAAAACAAACCTTAAAATGATCAAACATCCAAAAGTAACTTAACTGCCTTCCAGAAAAAGTCCAACACTCTTTAAAGGAAGACAATAAAATCTAACAGTTACCTGCAAAATTAAAAATGTCAAGCATCCAATAAAAATTTACTAGACATACAAAGAAACAAGAAAACATGACCCATAACCAGGAGAAAAATAAATGAATAGAAGATCCAATAAGGATGAAGAAAGAAGTAGACCTTTAAACAGTTTTTAAAAAATATTTTAAATATACTTGAAGATGAAAAAGAAAACATGAACATAATGAAAGTGAAACAAAAGATAGAGAAAATACCAAAATGGAACTTATAGAGAGGAAAAATAAAATACGTGAAATTTAAAAAGTCACTGTCTAATAGCAGATTAGACACAGAAGAAAAGATCAGTGAACATGAAGACATAGCAATAGAATCTATTTAAAATGAAAAAAAACCCAAAAATTACTGGGAAAAAATGAACAAAGAATCCGTTATTTGTAGAAATATACCAAATGGTCTAATGTATGTGTATCTGGAGTCCAGAAGAAGGAGAGGAGAGTGGGGAGAACAGAAACTATATTTGAAAAAATAATCGCTGGAAAATTTTCCAAATTTGATAAAACCGCAAACCCACAAGTCCAAGAAAGTCAACTATAAGGAGAGTAAACATAAAGCCAAACAAAGGCAGATCATGATCAAATTGCCAGAGAGAGAGAGAGGGAGAGAAAGAGGAAACTTAAAAACATCACACACAAAAAGACACATTACATATTAAGGAACAAAGATAAGAATGACAGAATTTTGTCAGAAACTGCAAGTCAGAAGTCAAAGTTGTGACATTCTAAAAAGGCTGAAATTTAAAAAAACACTTCGGACAAACAAAAGCTGGGAGAATTTATCACAAACCCATACTGTGAGAAATATTAAAGTAAGCTGTTCATACAAAAGGAACATGATACTAGATGAAATATGGATCTACACAAAAGAATGAAGAGTAAAGAAAAAGCAAATATGTAGCTAAATATAAAAAATATTTCTCATTTTTAACATTTAAAAAAGACAGTCTAGTGAATTTTATCAAACAAACAAGGAAGAATTAATAGCAATCCTTCACAATTTTTTTTTTAAATTGAAGGACCATTTCCCAACATACTGTATGAAGCCAATATTAATCTGATACCAAAACTAGACATATATATCACAAGAAAAGAACACTATTAACCAATGTTTCATTAATACAGACATTAAAATCCTCAACAAAATACCAGCAAAGGGTTATACACCATGACCAAGTTGGATTAATCTCAGGAATGCAAGATTGGTTATATATATATAAAAAATCAATGTCATATACCATATTAATAGAAAATAAAACAAAAACACATGATCATCTGAATAGATGCAGGAAAAAATTTTTGGATAAAATCCAACACCCTTTCATGATAAAAATACAAAGGAAACTAGAAATGGAAGGAAACTCCTTAGCCTGATTAAAACAACAACAACAACAACACCACACACACACATCTATAAAAAAAAACCCACAACCAATCCTTAGACTTATGGTGAAAGACTGAATGTTTTGCCCTTAAAATCAGGTTGCACTTGCCACTTCTGTTCAACTTTGTACAGAAAGGTCTAGTCAGTGCAGTTAGGAAAAAAGAAATGGAAGAAAGGAGGGAGGGAGGAAGGGAGAAAGGAAAATAGGGAGGGACAGAAGGAGGAATATTGGATTAGAAAAGAAGCAGCAAAATTATCTCAATTTGCAGATGACATCATATTATATATGGAAAACCCTAAGTTTTCCACATAATCACACACACCCCCACACTATTAAAGCTAATAAATGAGTTCAGCAAGGTTGCAGGACATAATATCAAACAAAAATCAATTGTATTTCTATATAGTGAAAACTATTTGGTTTGCAATAAGGAAACTGAAAATGAAATTAAGAAAATCACTCCATTTACAATAACATCAAAAAGTATAAACTAGGAATAAATTTAACAAAAGTGCAAGACTAAATTAAACACTATAAAACATTGCTAAGAGAAATTAAAGAAGACCTAGATAAATGGAAAAACATCCATGTTCATGGAATGGAAGACAATATGGTTAAGATGGAAATAGCTCCCAAATTGATAGATTCAATGCATTCCTTATCAAAATCCCAGAAGGCTTTTTGAAGATATTGGCAAGGTGATCTTAACATTAATATGTTAATATTAATGAGTGTGTCATAGATACTCAAGACTACCCTCAGGTTTGATGATTCACTAGGGGGACTCACAGGACTCAGCATACAGTTGTACTCATGGCTATGATTTATTACAATAAAATGATACAGAAAAAAAATCAAAGGGAAAAGATGCACAGGGCAAAATGAAGGAAACAAGATTCCTGCTTCCAAGGGTCTTCTCCAAGTGAAGTCGCACACAATGTGCTTAATTTCCCCAGCAATGATTTGAGACAACATGTGTGAAATGTCCACAGTAAAGCTCATTAGGCAGTCAGTGCCCAGGGAATTCACTGGGGCACTCCATGTGTTATACAGGCACCCTCTGACTAGTATGTACCACAAATTCAGACTCCCAGAAGGAAGGCAGGTGTTCAAATAAACCATACTGTTTATATAAACAGTTCAAGCATAGTGAGCCACTTTTATTAGAAATCCAATTTCCAGGCAAGATCCAACCTAGTAGGAAGGTCTTTTTTTTAATCATAAGCCTGCTATATTACTCTTTTCTGCACAGCAAGTGACCCAGAAAAGTCGAAACAAACTTGAAAAAAAGAAGAAATTTGGTGGACTCACATTTCCTGATTTCAAAACTTACTATAAAGTTACAATAATAAAAAATGTATAGTACTGGTACAAAGATAGACCTACCAATCAATGGAATAGAATTGAGAGTCCAGAAATAAACCCTTACATTTATAGTCAATTGATTTTCAACAAGGATAACAAGACTATTCAATGGGGAAAAGACAGACAAATAACAAGTGCTGAAAAAAAACAAGTGTTGAAAAAAAAGACAACAACAAGTGTTGGTGAGGATGTGAAGGATTCAAATTCTCATACATTGCTGATTGGAAGGTAAAATGATGTAGCTGTGGAAAAGTTTGACAGTTCCTCAAAATATTAAGAATGGAGTACCATATTATGTAGCAATTCCACTTCTAGATATGTACCCAAGAGAATTGAAAACATACTTCTACACAAAAACTTGCACACAAATGTTCATAGCAGCATTATTCATAATAGCCAAAAAGTGGAAGCAACTCACATTCTATAAACCGATAAATGAATAAATAAATGCGGTAGATCCATTCAATGGAATACTGTTCAACAATAAAAAGGAGTTAAGTACTGACACATGCTATAATATGCATGAATTTTAAAAACATGCTAAGTGAAAGGACCCAGTCACAAAGACAACATATCATATGAATCAGTTTACGTGAAAAGTCCAGAGTAGTCAAACCTAAAGAGACCAAAAATAGAGTAGGGATTACCTAGGATGGAGAAATGGGGAGTGACTGCCAATGGATGCAGGATTTCTTTGTGGGGTAATGAAAATGTTGTAAAATTTATTGCAGGGATGGTTGCATAACTAAATACACTAAATATATACTAAATTTTGGAATATACTAAAAACAATTGAATTGCACACTTTAAATGGATAAATTGCATCTTGATAAAGCTGTTTTTTAAAAGAGATTGTTTATTTTGATTCTGTCCCAATAGTTTATTTTTGCTTTTGTTTCCTTTGCCTCAGGAGACATATCAAGAAGGATGTTGCTATGACCAATGCCAGAGAAATTACTGCCTGTACTCTCTTCTAGGATTTTTATGGTTTTGGGTCTCACATTTAGGTCTTCAATGCATTATGAGTTTATTTTTGTGTGTGGTGTAAGAAAGTGGTCCAGTTTCTTTTCTTTCTTTCTTTCTTTTTTTTTTTTTTTGCATGTAGATATCCAGTTTTCCAGGCACTATTTATTGAAGTGACTCTTTTTCCCATGGCATATTTTTGCCTCTTTTGTTGAAGATTAATAGATTAACTGACCATATAATAATGGGTTTATTTCTGGGATTTCTATCCTATTCCATTGATCTATGTGTCTATTTTTGTGCCAGTATCATACTGTGCCAGCTTTGTAGTATAACTTAAAATCTGGAATTGTGATATCTCCAGCTTTATATTTCTTTTTCAAGAATGTTTTGGCTATTCAGGATCTTTTGTGGTTCCATACAAATTTTAGGATTGTTTGTTCTAGTTCTGTGAAAAATGCTGTTGGTATTTTAGGGATTGCATTAAATCTGTAGATTGCTTTAGAAAGTATGGACATTTTAACAATATTTCTTCTTCCAATCCATGAGCATGGAATAGCTTTCCATTTATTTGTGTCATCTTCAACTTTTTTCATCAGCGTTTTATAGTTTTCAGTGTATAGGTTTTTCACTTCCTTGGTTAAGTTTATTCCTAGGTATTTTATTATCTTTGGTGCAATTATAAATTGGATTGTTTCCTTAAATTCTCTTTCTGCTGCTTCATTATTAGTGTATAGAAATGCAACAGATTTCTGTACATTGATTTTGTATACTGTGACCTTATTCAATTCATTTATCAGTTTTAATAATTTTGGGGGGTAGTCTTTAGGGTTTTCTATATATACCATCATGTCATCTGCAAATAGTGAAAGTTTTACTTCTTTTTTACCAATTTCCTTTTCTTATCTGATTGCTGTGGGAAAAAAAAAATACCACTGGATGGTATTTTCTTTTCTTATCTGATTGCTGTGGCAAAATACAAAGCTTTTGCATACAAAGGAAACAAACAATAAAACTAAAAAAAAAAAATGACCTACTGAATGGGAGATGTTTGCAAATGACATATCTGATAAAGGGTTAGTATACAAAATATATAAAGAACTGATTCAACTCAACAGCCAAACACCAAATAATCCAATTAAAAAATGGACAAAAGAGGGTGCCTGGGTGGCTCAGCTGTTAAGCTCTGCCTTTGGCTCAAGTCATGATCCCAGGGTCCTAGGATCGAGTCCCACATCGGGATCCCTGCTCAGCGGGAAGCCTGCTTCTCCCTCTCCCACTCCCCCTGCTTGTGTTCCCTCTCTTGCTGTGTCTCTCTCTGTCAAATAAATAAATAAAATATTTAAAAAAAAAAAAGGACAAAAGACATGAACAGACATTTCTCCAAAGAAGACATCCAAATGGCCAACAGACACATGAAAGGATACTCACTCAACATCACTCATCATCAGGGAAATGCAAATCAAAACACAATGAGATATCACCTCACACCTGTCAGAATGGCTAAAATCAAAAATACAAGAAACATCAAGGGTTGGCAAGGTTGTGGAGAAAAAAGAACGATTGTGCACTGTTGGTGGGAATGCAAACTGGTGCAGCCACTCTGGAAAACAGTATGGAGGTTCCTCAAAAAATTAAAAATGGAACTACCCTATGATCCAGTAATTGCACTGCTTGGTATTTATCCAAAGAATACTCAAACACTAATTCAGAAGGATATATGCACCCCTGTGTTTATTGCAGAATTATTTACAATAGCCAAATTATGGAAGCAGCCCAAGTGTCCATCAATAGATGAATGGATAAAGAAGATGTGGTATATATATATATACAATGGAATATAGAATGAAATCTTGCCATTTGCAACAACATGGATGGATCTAGAGGGTATAATACTAAGTGAAATAAATCAGTCAGATAAAGACAAGTACCATATGATTTCACTCATATGTGGAACTTAAGAAACAAGACAAACAAATGAAGAAAAAAAAGAGAGAGAAACCAAAAAACAGACTATTAACTATAGGGAGTAAATAGGTGGCTACCAGAGGGAAGGTGGGGGTGGGGAATGGGTGAAATAGGTGAAGGGGATTAAGAGTACACTTATCATGATGGTCAGTGAGTAATATTTAGAATTGTTGAATTACTATATTGTACACTGAAACTAATATAACACTGTATGTTAACTATACTGGACTTAAAAAATTTAAAAAATAAGAAAAAGACAATCTAAAGCAAAAATATTATAACAGTGCATTGTGGAGTATATTTCATATTTAGAATTAAAATCTATGACAACAATAACATAAAGCATGGAATGGGAAATTAGAAATATGCTAGTATAGTTCTTACGTTTTAAATGAAATGGTATAATATTATTTGAGTGTAGACTGTGACGAATTAAAGATATAACTGATAAACCCTAAAGCCACACTAAGCACATAATACAAAGAGGTATAACTAATAAGTAAATAATGACTATGAAATGGATTCATAAAAATTCTCAATCTGGGGGCACGTGGGTGGCTCAGTCAGTTAAGCATCTGCCTTTGGCTCAGGTCATGGTCTTGGGGTCCTGGGATCAAGTCCCACATCAGGCCCCTGCTCAGTGGGGAGTCTGCTTCTCCCTTTCATTCTGCCTCTCTCCCCCACTCGTGCTCTCTCTCTCTCCCTTAAATAAATAAATAAATAAATAAATAAATAAATAAATAAATAAATAATTCTCAATCTGGAAGAAGACAGAAAAGAATAAAGGGGCAAAGAACAGATGGAACAAACAGAAAACAAAGATGGTAGATTTACTCCAATTAAAGGCAGAGATTGTCAGACTAAATTAAAAAGTAAGCCCCTACAATATGCCACCTACAAGACACTTTAAAAATAAAGATGAACATAGATAAAAGGTAAAAGAATGGAAAAAGATATGTACACTCTAGCACAATTTAAATGGCTATATTAATATCACAGTTCACTTCAGAGAAGGAATATTACCAGAGATAGAAAGGAACCTTACATATTGGAAAAGGGATTGATTAATCAGGAAGACATAATCCTAACTGTATATGCACTCAATTACAGAGTTTCAAAATAGCTGAAGCAGAAACTGACAGAACTGAAAAGACAGATAATTTTAAAATTAGAGATTTCAACATTATTTCAGCAAATAATAGGGCAAGTAGACCCCCTAAAAAGTCATACGAACAATAAGATTTGAATAATATTTGTCCTAATTGGCAGTTATAGAATACTTGGAGATTTCATCACTCCTCTCTCAGCAATTGATAGAACATTTAGAGAAAATAAATTAGTAAAGATTTATAAAATACAGTAAAGATACAAAAATATTAAAGTGTCTTTCAAAAAAGACACAATTTGACTGATATTTATAGAACACTCTACTCAACAAAAGCAGAATACACATTCTTTTCAAGTGTTCATAGACTATTTACCAAGATAGGCCATATTCATAGCCATAAAACAAGTCTCAGTATATGTAAAAGGATTAAAATCATATAAAGTTGTTCTTTGACCATAGTGGAATTAACTAAAAATTAATAACAGGAAGATATATGGGAAAGTCCTCAAATATTTGGAAACTAAGTACAACCATGGTCAAATACCATGAGTCAAAGAAGAAATCACAAGGGAAATTAGAAAGTATTTTGAACTAATTGAAAAAGAAGATACAATTTGTCAAGTTTGTGAGATGTAGCTAAAGCAGTGCTTAGAGAAAAATGAATAACATTAAATGCTTATATATGAAAAAAGAAAAATCTCAAATCAATGATCTAAGTTTCAGAAACTAGAAAAATAGGAATGTTAAACCTAAATAACATTAGGAAGGAAATGAAAAAGATGAAAAGTTATTAATGAAATAAGAAATGAAAAAAAAATAGAGAAATATAAGAGAAAAAAATAGAGAAAAATAAAACCCAAAGCTGGTTCTTTAAAAAACAACAACAGCAACAGCAACAACAATTGACAAACCTCTAGCCCAGAGATGGCTAACATTTTCTATAAAATAGGGCCAGATAATAAGTATTTTACACTTTGTGAGCCATTCAATCCACCCAACTTGCAACTACTGAATTCTGCCATTGTAGCATGAAAGTGGGTATATACAATATCTAAACATATGAGTGTGGCTGTATTTTAATACATTTTATTTACAAGAAAAGGCAGCAAGACAGACCTAGTACAATAGGTAAAGTTTGCTCATCTTTACTCTAGCCAGACTGACATGGGAGAGATAGACCACAAATTACCAAAATCAGGAATGAAAAAGGGGCATCACTACAGGTTGTACAGATTCCATGATCAGCCATTCATCCCTGGGCAGTACTTACCCCACTTCCCAACCCTGTCTATTGAATAGGCCAGAATGTAGAAACCATGTGCCTTCAAAGCTGACATGCATTTTTTGAGTAACTAATTTATGCTAACAGGCAAAACAAAGATCCCTGCACTCCTGGACTTATCTTCTAATCAAGGAGATGGAGAATAAACAATGTGTAGATTACCTTGTATGCTAGAAATGGTAAGAACTGTGAAGGAAAATAGGACACAGGAAGGAGAGTGGGAGTGCTGGGAGTTTTAAATGGTGTAAGATCCAGGAAGGTGTCATGGAGAAAGTAGTGTTTGAACAAAGATCTGAAGGTGGTAGTAGAGCAAGCCAAGAAGAATGTTCTGGGCAAAGGAAACAGCCAAGGCACAGGTCCTGAGACAGTGCCATCCCTGGCACATCTGAGGAACAGCAAAGGCCAAAATGGCTAGAGTGGAGTGAATAAAGGAGAGAGAGAAAAACACAGAGATCAGAGCTGTATCAGGGACAGCTCAGTGTAGGACCTTACAGTCTATGATGCAGACTTGGGTTGGGAAGACCTGCAGTAAAGGGTTTGTGAACACTGCAGGGATGAGCACCATGAATAAAAGGAAAAAGATCAACAAAAAATTAGAGCAATAGTGGAGTCACTTCAAGAATTGGGCCTTTCAGACCTGGGATTAGGGAGGTGCTAGCAAGATTTCTCCTGCCTCCTTCCTGCTCAAGGAAATGTATTCTAGAGGGCTGAGGACACCTACCCGCCCATTCTCCATTTCTCGACATGCCATCAGGATCACCTAGACAAGAAGGGTAAGGGAAGAGGGGAGTGATTTGGGTTAGGGAATTGGAGAAACAAGGCCAAGGGAGGACTCAGAATGTTAGCCCCACCTCACGGTCCTCTAAGGCTGACCTTGACCCCAAACTCCCAGACCAGGCGCCAGAAGTCTAGCAAGGTGTGAGGCAGGGGTCCTTGTGTGGCGATGTAGGCCTGGCTTCCGTCTGTGCCCTGGTAAAGGCTAAGTTCATCACCGAGATCTTGCTGTCACCCCCTCCAAGTCCACCCCTTCCCTGACTCCCAGCCTGACCCGGATGAAGTTGCCATTGATGTAGTCGCCATGTCCCTCCTCCTGGAGCAGGGAGAGGATCACTCGTGTCTGATCATCTGCCAGTGGGAGAGGTGAGAAAAGTGCTTTGGGGTGATAGGAGCATCAAAGCCCTGATGGCCTCCTGGATGAAAGCCAGCAGGTTTACTGCACACCCAGCAGGGATCCCACCTGGGTGCACTTGTGAGCTGCTCAGGAGAAATGCAGCCATTGCAAGGATCTGAGAGGGAGTGCACTGGGAGCACAGTGGGGATGGACTGGACTGTCATGGGATGGAGGATGTGTGCAGAGCCTCACTGACTCCCTCTGGAAGCCCCCGACTTACAGGGCAGCACATCTTTGTAGCGGTTCTTCCTCACATTCCCTGGCAGACTGCCAGCCTCAGTGGAGCACATACAGCCAGTCTTCCATGCGGCTGAGCGGGCCTGGATGTCCTGGCGGAAGGCACCATTAGCAGACCCGGGAAAGGGAGGAGAGAGGAAGAGAGGAGCAAGGTCAGAGTTCTGGGGCACAGAGGCACTTGTAGGGATACAAGGTACATGGCCTGTGAGAGGTGAATGCAGACTCTTAGATAGCATGGTGCCTGGGTAATTGTAGCGATACAATAGTAATAGCAACTCAGAGCACCTTGTCTATGCCAGGCTCTGTGCTAATGACATTGAATCATTACAAGGTCACCCCAAAGTTAGTACTATTATTAATGTCCCCATGGTGTAGGTAAGAAAGCTGATGCACCACATGGTTGAGTGACTTGCCAAAGGCCCACCCAGGAACTGGAACAGTGAGGGTTGCACTCAAACCTCTCAGCATCTACCCCCTAAACGCTCAAACTGTGTTACATTGTATTGTAAACAATAATTGTAATGGAATATGTATTTAATATAACAAACATGATGATGTATGATATATGTGACAATATACAATGTATATGAATTATAATGTATAACATTACTTATGTAACAAAATATTACAGATACTTTGTTACTATTAGATTATTATAATTCGTGAAGTGTATTACCATCATATCAGCTATTCAAAATCAGACGATAATAAGTAACACCTACCAATGCCTACGACGCTGCATTAGCATTCCTTACACATGGCTTGCATCACGGCATTGTAATGTTTAGAATATTTATAACTAGTGACAAAGGATCCTACAAACTGAGCGCTCAAGATGTGCTAGGCGCTTTTTTACCCACACCAGTTCCTCAGGTCATTAGAGGTCGCGTTTTACCCAAGGAGAAACTGACGCCAGAGGACCCGGGTAAAGTACCCTAGGTCACAGCGCCTATTAGAGTCCGGCATCCACACCACCAACCCACTTCCCCTCCACCCGCAGTGGGGCTTCTTGGTTCCTCTTCCCCTAGCCCCTTCTTCCACATGATCACAGAAGTGATCACCAGGGTGCCTGGAGAGGCCCGGGTGACCGGTGTCAAGCGCAAGTGCGCGCCTGCCTTCCCTTGCTGCGCCGGCTTCTCCAGCCCCACCCAGTAGCGGAACTATTCCGGGAGCTGGATGAGGGCACAGGGACACAAGGGCGTGTGCGGCACCGCCCAACCCTGCCGTGGACTTCGCCCTCTGGGGTTCTGTGGGCAGAGGATGAGGACAGAGACAGAGGAGAGAGCGACAGAGAGGTGCCGGGGGGGAGAAAAATAGACCTTGAAGCGAGGAGACACCCTTGGACGCATAGAGAAAGGGGGTGGGGGGCGCAAAGCGCGGCAGGGCGCACAGGACAGACATCGGACAGCCCAGGACCAGGAGACTGAGCGCGCGGTTTGGCCGTCCACTCTCGCCCACTCACGCTGAACTCGCCGGCAAGGATCGCCCTCTCCCGGCCGCCTCGCGCCTTCAACTGCTCCAAGAAGCTCCGCGCAGCGTCCAAGTTGTGGCTCATGACGCCGTGGGCCAGAGGGGTCCAGTCCAGCTGCTGCGCTCCGCTCAGCTAGTAGCAAGAAAGCTGGAGGCGGAGGCGGGCTGCAGAGGCCCCGCCTCCTATCTTGCAACCCAATGGAAGCGCGCAACAGGCGGCAGGGCTCGCCCCTCGGCCAATGACATTCGGAGCTCGCCCCGGTACTGCCCACAGGCTCCGGGACCCAGGCAGCCTCGGGAGCCCTACGTCCTCTCCCGCTGGGCCTGGGAACTGAGTCCAGCGCAGGTGCTTCCCTTTTTATGCGCGCCGGGCATGTTGGCTGAGTCCGCACAATCCGCTGGATGCTTTCTCCTGCTTGTTCCCAGGATCCGCGCCCCTCCCTCCAAGGGCCCGCGTTGGTAGATGGCCTTGCATTCTCGCCTGGCCTCCCAGGTCCAGTCTCCCTGAGAGATAGACTGGGATCCGAGCTAGAGAGGCGGCGCGGCAGCTGTGAGTGGAGATGGTCGCGGAGATCCAGCTGCAAGTCCTGCCTCGAGGAGCCTGGGTTGGGGGCGTCCCTCACTGTGAGCTCCGGCGGCGGGGCCCGAGGGAGGTCACGGGAGGTTGCTGAGGTTGCCGCGGGGGGGTGGGGGGGTGGGGCACTGACACCCGGGCACCCCCGTTGTGAGAAAGACCGAATGGAAGCGTCTGTTTCTGTATCTCTGTATTTCCTGAGGTTCCTTTTTCTGGGTCGGGCTAGGAGGAGCTGGGGGCGCCAGGATCCTTTCTGAATTTAAGGATCTCAACCCTCATAAACCTGCAGGGAAACAGAACTGAGGCCGTCAAAGTGGGTTCCAGGGGGAAAGATGTTCTCAAGGCTTTCAAAGAGCTTCTCTTTTTGCTGTCTCCACACCCTCAACTTCAGAAAATGCGCAGGAAAAGGCCAAGAGAACCACTTGGTGACCCAGTTCCCCGGGTCACCAAGGGGAGGCTGGAGAAAGCGGAGAGGAGCCTAGGGGTCCTGCCTGGATAGATGGGCCAGCCCACCCCTCACCCAGTAGGGCTCCAGGAGTCATGGGAGGAATTTCTGGGGGTGTCACTGGAGGGGGTGTCTGTGGAGTCCAGTTTGAGGTCGTTGAGGTGTAAAAGGTTAACCAATGGGGTGAGGTGTACTTTAAGTGAGGGGTCAAAAAGGTCATTGGTTCAGGTTGTGGATTTAATTAATTATGGATTATTAGAGTGTTGTTTTTTGAGTTAGGGATGGGCAAACTCTTTTTTTTTTCAAAAGACTTTGGTTTTTGGCTTTGCTGTCTCTGGTGTCTGTCCCAGCTACTCAACTCCACCATGGCAGTGTGAAAGCAGCCATAGGCCACAAGTAAAGAAATGAGTGTGGCTATATTCCAATAAAACTATTTGTGGACATTGAAATTTTAATTTCATGTAATTTTCATGTGTCACAAAACATTTCTGTGGGTGTGGCCTGAGGCTGTGTAACCTGGTTTACTGACCCAGGTTTAAGTGACAGAAGTCAAAGTGGATGATCACTGGTTTTGTTTATTGAGGGGTTGGGTGGGGTCACCGTGGACTCAGTGTTTATTAGTTTCATCTCTAAGAGTTCAAAGATGGTCAGTAGTGATCACTGAGGACGGACATTTATAGTTAATTCATTGGAGGTCAGTGAGAGTTCTTTGGATGTTCATGGGCAACTGTCATCAGATGTTATTGGCAGCCATTGGAGGTCAGTGAGAGACTGTGAAAGTAGCTGAAGGGCTATTGGGATTTGGAGTGGTAGTTTAAGTAACTGAGGGATCAAAAGAAGGAAGGTCATTGAGGGCTCCTGCTCGGTGCACTATAGTGTATGTCAATGAAATCACTGAGATTTTGTGGATGGTCATGGGTTTTTGGAGACTTGGGGAGGTGGGATACAGAAGTCTCAGGGAACTTTGAGAAGATATGGATGTTCAATGGAGGAGTCATGGACACTCTTTAGTCTGAGTACTCATGGATACTAATGGCAGTCATTAGGGACTAGTGGATACCAGAGTAAATGAGGAAGAGTCACTGTGGGATCATGAAATGTCTTTGTGGACCCTGGTGTTAGTGGATGTCATTGGAGGTCAAAGGTCACTGGGAACTGGTGGTACCTGGGGAGCAGATGCAACACTGAAGGGTCATTGGGCCATCCATGTCATCTATGGTGGTGACTGGGAGGCAGGAAGGCTGACCCAGAAGCTGGGGTCTGGCTAGCTGGGGATCTTCTGACCAGTGACTGAGGGTCTGTTTGTCCAGTGGGGGGATGTACCTATCTGTCCATCTGGCTTTTCGGGGTGATGTTTATCTTGCTAAGGGCTTGGCTTTCTCATAGGCTGGGGTCTGTGGCAGGAGCTAAGCCTGTCAAGCTGAGGTCTGCCTGGCTAATTGACTGGGTAGGTGGGGTATCTCTTTGCTGGGGTAATGTCTGTCTGTCCTTGAGGGATTTTGTCTTTTGGTTGCCTGGGATCACCTAATTGGCTGACGCCAGGAAGGTGTCCATGTGTCTGACCACAGGTCTTTCTGGATGTCTGGCTGGGTATCTTCCCATTTGTTCAAGAATCTGTCCATTTATCTGGCTGTCTGTCCCTCTGGAGTCTTATTTGTCTCCCTGGGATTTTGTCCATCCAGAAGTCTGTCTAGCCAGGGGTCTGTGTGTCTGCCTATTTGGGGATCTTTCTATCTGGTTCAAAATCTTATGGCTTATGAACAGAATGGCTGAGGCTGTAGCCCACCTGTCATGCTTCCAGCTGGACTGGCTATATTTTTGGTTGCACGTTCATCCTAACTCCATGACTGCCTCTCATTGTTTAATTTGTGTGCCCCGCTGACTATCCCTCTAGGTCTCTCCAGATATCCAAATGCTCCTGGCTTGCAATCTACTCAGCTCAGGCTGGTGTGGGGGATGGGGAGACCCATGGGAATTCCTCCAGTAGCCCAGCCTGTCCCACCTCTCCCTCCTCCCAGAGAATTGCATGCCGTGTTCTTACAATGGGATTTGCTGCTGCTAGGGGCTCTTTTGTTCACCCTATTGGTGGCAATCCCATGAAGTGGGAGCAGAGGGCACTGCCCTTGAAGATCCTAAGTATCCTGATGCCCACATGCCACATGCCAATCTGCCTGATTGCCTGCTCATAGTGCTCACTCAACAGAGGCAAGTGAACTGGGTGCTGGAAGGTGCTTGGGTAAGCTTTCCTAATGCTGTGAGGAACCCAGGCTGAGCAGATGTTGCAAAGGGAAAAACTGTAACTTTATAATGGAGAAACATAGATACCACCTTAACCCAGGGAGCTTGTTGGGAGATACTTTGAGACTATCGATAGTATTACTGCACAGTTCTTCTCTGGCTTCCTTTTTTGATAGACCAAAAAGGGCAGAAGACATTTGAAAAAATTCTCCCACCGCTTCTGTTAAGAACCTGCAGGCAGGGTGGGCTGACCTGTGGGTCCATCCACAAATGTGGTGCTTAGCAAACAGGAAAAAGGACATTGACTCCAATAGGGGCAGCTTGTGCCCACCAGTGATTGCAGCTAACTACCTCTGGGAGGGCTTTTGTTATTCTCCCCTAACTCCTCAGGGGTTCTGGATTTCAGTGTTCTGAAATTGAGGATCCCTCCTGGTCCCTTTCTGGGAAAAAAAGCAGCAGCTTAGAACTGGGGGAACACAGCCCAAGGAGAAAGCCACCCTACCTACCATTTCTCAGTCCTGCTGCCAACCCACATGACCTCTCTGTGGAGGCTGATTTCTACTACTGGGAACTGCCCTGTTGTTCTGCTTCACAGAGGGAGGGGGAAAGCCCTCTTCCTCATCTTTAAAAAATTACATCCTTAAAATGTTCATACCAACCAGCCCCACTCTTCCAGGGCAGAGCCTGGGTATCTTCATCACCCAGAGTGAGCCCCAGATGCTAGTACATGCCTTTGGAGGAAATAAACTCAGCCCTGGGCTCTGTGCCAACAGCTCCAACTGCTGTAAGCTTTAGGCAAACAAATGCTCTGACAGTGATGCTGGTAGCATCTTGGGGCCTCTGGTCAGGTCACCCTGCATCCTTGGCTTGCAGCTTCCACCCACCCAACTTTAGCTTAGCCAGCACTTTATTTGGAAAAGACCAACTAGTCACGTTCTTTTAAGCTTAGTCTGGCTGGAGTTCTGCATAGCTAAGGGCTCTTCTGTGGGTGCTGAATGCAGAGCCCATGGCGTCACAACCAAAGGGAAGTATGGATCTTCTCCATCGCTTTCTGCCCCTCAATTATAAAACCAGAGAGAAGTTAAGTGCACATCTATGTCTGGGCAAGTATGCACATCTCTGGAAGGATTCCTGTAATGAGACCAAGAGCAAGGGCAGGGGGCATCTTACGCTGCTGCTGCTGCTCAGTGTTCTGAAGTCCTAGCCAATGCACTGTGGCAAGGAGAAAGCAAGAGTGGGGGTCTGTCAAAAGTACTGTGGAACTGGCACATGGCATGCATAATCAGGCTAGAGAGTTCTAAAACCAAAAAGGCTTATAAGAAAATTTAATAAGGTATCTAGTTGAAATATAATACACACACACACATCACACATATACATACAGAGATCACTTTCCGATATACCAGCAAAAATGAATTTGAAACTGTAATGAAAAAAAAATCTATTAATTTCTTGAAAAATAGGCACCAAGTTCCAAACCCCTATTGAATTAATAGAGCTAAACAATGATATTAATGTCTGCTACCATCACAAAAAAGACACCCCACACATTATCATCCTCCTAGTAAAAGAACACAACACTCCACCAAGTATTCCCACCAACAAAATTTAAACCTGCACCTGATTGAGCCTTTAGATCTAAATGTTAATTCAGAAGAAATAGAAGGGCACAGAAAAACGTTAAATGACACAACAGGGACAAGATCAGAGACATCCACACTGTGGAAACTCTGTAACAAATAAACCAGCTTCCTAATTGAACAAATTACAAAGAAAAAATAAAAAAAGAGAGAGAATCCTATAGGTTAAAAGAGACTTAGGATGTATACACAAATACTTACGGCAGCATTATTCATAATAGCCCCAAAGTAGAAACAACCCAAGTTTCATAAAGT